CACATACATAGATTCATAGATAGATAGATGCAGAGAGAGAGAGAGAGACAGACAGACAGACAGATAGATAGATAGATACATACACAGAAAGATACACAGATAGATACACAGATAGATAGATAGATAGATAGATAGATACATACATACATACATACATACATACATAGATACATAGATAGATAAAGAGAAACAGATAGATAGATAGATACATACATACATAGATACATAGATAGATAAAGAGAAACAGATAGATAGATAGAAAGATACATACATATATACATAGATAGATAGATAGTTACATGCATAGATAGAAATATAGATACATAGATAGATACATAGTGAGATACATAGAGAGATAGATAGATAAAAAGATACATAGATAGATGCACATACATACCTACCTACATAAACAGAGAGATTGATACAAAAATAGATGGATGGATGGATGGATGGATGGATGGATAGATACATATATACATACATACATACTTACATACATTCATAGATGGATAGATACGTACGTTCATAGATAGATAGATAGATAGATAGATAGATAGATAGATAGATAGATGCACATACCTACCTACCTACAAAGAGATGTATACACTACAGAAATAGATAGATGGATGGACGGAGAGACAGACAGACAGAGAGACAGACAGACACATACATACATACATAGATGGATAGATACATATACATACATACATACATACATACATACATACATACATACATATATACATAGAGAGATAGAGAGATAGATAGATAGATGTTACCTACAGAGAGATGTATACAGAAATAGATAGATGGATGGATGGATGGATGGATGGATACATAGATACATACATAGATTCATAGGTGGATACATACATAAATGCATAGACAGACAGACAGATAGATGCACATACATTATCTACCTACAGAGAGATGTATACGGAAATAGTTAGATGGATGGATGGATAGATACATACATAGATAAATAAATAAATACATACATGCATGCATGCATGCATACATACATAGATTCATAGATGGATAGATACATACATACACACATAGAGAGATAGATAGATGCACATACCTACCTACAGAGAGATGTATACAAAAATAGATGGATGGATGGATGGATGGATGGATACATACATAGATAAATAGATCCATCCATCCATCCATCCATCTAGATCGATCATAGATAGATAGATAGATCATAGATAGATAGATAGATAGATAGATAGATAGATAGACAGACAGACAGACAGACAGACAGATAGATAGATAGATAGATAGCTAGATAGAGATAGATAGATAGATAGATAGATAGATAGAAATAGATGGATGGATGGATAGATAGATACATAGATGGATAGATAGATAGATAGATAGATAGAGAGAGAGAGAGAGAGAGATACATACATAGATTCATAGATACATAGATGGATAGATACATGCATAGATAGATAGACAGACAGACAGACAGACAGACAGGCAGGCAGGCAAACAGGCAGACAGATAGATAGATGCACATACATACCTACCTACAGAGAGATGTATACAAAAATAGATAGATAGATAGATAGATAGATAGATAGATAGATAGATAGATAGATAGATAGATAGATGATAGATGGATGGATACATACATGGATAGATACATACATGCATAGATAGACAGACAGACAGGCAGGCAGGCAGACAGATAGATAGATGCACATACATACCTACCTACAGAGAGATGTATACAAAAATAGATAGATAGATAGATAGATAGATAGATGGATGGATGGATGGATGGATGGATGGATGGATGGATGGATGGATAGATGGATAGATGGATACATACATACATACATACATACATACATACATACATACATACATGGATAGATACATACATGCATAGACAGGCAGGCAGGCAGGCAGGCAGACAGACAGATAGATGCATATACATACCTACCTACATAGATGGATACAAAAATAGATAGATGGATGGATGGATGGACGGACGGACGGACAGACAGACAGATAGACAGACACATGGATACTAGTTTTGTGAGACACCAACCCTCTTTGGCAGAAAAGGTGAAATACTTTGTTAAACTAAAACTCCCAGGATTCTATCACATTGAGCCATGGCACTCGCTTGACTCTGTAGATCAGGCATGGGCAAACTTTGGCCCTCTGGGCGTTTTGGACTTCAACTCCCACCATTCCTAACAGCCTCAGGCCCTTTCCTTTCCCCCCTCAGCCACTTAAGCTGCTAGGAATTGAGGCTGTTTGGAATTGTGGGAGTCGAAGTCCAAAACACCCGGAGGGCCAAAGTTTGACCATGCCTTGTGTAGATTCAGTTAACAACAAAGAATAGATCCATTCAAGCGATTCTTGAATGGGGAGCCAACATGTAACAACACCCAATGGGTTGTCTCTAGTTGGGATGAGCCAAGAACACTAGCAGAACTTGGGCCATTGCTTCCTATTAATGGTCCAGTGATGGTGAGTCTGAATGGTCCAACGATGGTGAGTCCCGCAAGGTAACTGTCCCATGTTCCGTAGGGTTCTTCACATCTGACTTCTCTTAACACGGCTCTTCATGGTGGAAATCACCTTGGAAGATTTGCACGAAGCCAACGGACAGATGCAAGGGGGATGGAAAGGCTTCCAAGCCCAGGGAACAGCTGGCGTGCTGAAGGGGGAACTTGCGGCGTGCGTTCTCATTATTCTAATGCTGTAACGACGTCTGGTAATTATGGGCTGTCGGCTTTTCTAGTGGAACAGACCTTGGTGCTTCAGAGAGGAAGAGGAGGGCGGGGGCCTTTTGGATACCTCCCAACTCATGGCAGTGTTCAGTGTAGTAAATATCAACTTGGAGGGCTTCCCGGAGCCTCTTCTGTTACCTCCAGGTGCATCTACACTGTTGAATTAATGCAGTTTGACAGTGACACCACTTTACTGAATCCCAGGAGTTGTAGTTTCCACTTGAGTCTTCTCTGTCAAGGAGGGCTGAACTACAACTCCCACAATTTGGTGTCAAACAGCATTCATTCTGCAATGCAGGTGCATCTAGGTGTTACAAAAATATATAATGTGATGAAATATGATGTGCAGATTTGATAAACGTGGATTTAATATGTGTGAGTATCAGAGGCAGCCCTAGGTGTGAATGCTTCAACTGACCACCTTGATTAGCATATAATGGCCTGCCAGTGCCTGGAGCAATCTTTTGTTGAGAGGTGATTAGATGTGTCCAACCTGGACGCAGCATTTTATTTGAGAACACAGAAATGCTGGACCACTCTCACAACCACCATGTCCGACTACACAGAGAAGCCATTGAAATCCACAAGCATGTGGACAATTTCAACAGAAAGGAGGAAACCATGAAAATGAACAAAATCTGGCTACCAGTAATTAAAAAACTCTAAAATTACAACAGCACAACAACAGAGAGGAAACAAACAAGGACATATAATCACCTCTCAACAAAAGTTTGCTCCAGGCACTGTCAGGCCATTATATGCTAATCAAGGTGGTCAGTTGAAACATTCACACCTAGCTCCAGCAGACAAGAGTCCTTTGTCCCACCCTACTCATTCCACAGATATATAAACCCTTTTTCCTAGTTCCAACAGACCTCACTACCTCTGAGGATGCTTGCGAAACGTCAGGAGAGAATGCCTCTAGACCAGGGGTCCCCAAACTTTTTGAACAGAGGGTCGGGTCACAGTCCCGCAAACTGTTGGGGGGCCGGATTATAATTTGAAAAAAAAAAACATGAATGAATTCCTATGCACTCTGCACATATATTATTTGCAGTGCAACCCCCCCCCCCAAAAAAAAAACAAAGACCCACACTTCTATATAAATAAAAATGTAATGTTTGTTTGTGGGATTAACAGAACTCAAAAACCACTGGACGAATTGACACCAATTTTAGACACAAGACACCTAACAACCCAATGTATGTCCTTCACTCAAAAAAAAAATGATTTTGTCATTTGGGAGTTGTAGTTGCTGGGATTTATAGTTCACCTACAATCAAAGAGCATTCTGAACCCCACCAACGATGGAATTGAACCAAACTTGGCACACAGTTCTCCCATGACCAACAGAAAATACTGGAAGGGTTTGGTGGGCAGTGTCCTTTGGTTTTGGAGTTGTAGTTCACCTATTCAGAGATCACTGTGGACTCAAACAATGATGGATCTGGACCAAACTCTACACGAATACTCAATATGCCCAAATGTGAACACTGGTGGAGTTTGGGGGAAATAGAATATTGACATTTGAGAGTTGTAGTTGCTGGGATGTATAGTTCACCTACAATCACAGAGCATTCTGAACCCCACAAACGATAGAATTGGGCCAAACTTCCCACACAGAACCCCCATGTGGGCCACAGCAATGCGTGGCAGGGGACGGCTAGTGTGTGTGTGTGTGTGTGTGTATGTATGTGTGTGTGTATATATATATATATATATATATATATATATATATATATATATTCCACCTTGTCTCCTGTGCTATGCTAATAATAATATAATATATTATATTGTATATACATATAATATTTATAATATTATAATGTAATACAATTAATACTAATAATATATTATAATTATATATTTTATATAACATGTAATATTACTAATAATATTGCAATATAATGGTATTGTACAATATAGTAATATATAATACTGATATTGTACTTTGCTAGTAGTATAATATATTGTACATATATATATCTTGTAAGCTGCTCTGAGTTCCCTTCGGGGTGAGACGGGTGGTAAATAAATGTAGTAAATAAATAAATATTCCCTCTCACATTGAAAATTGCAATAAAAAGAGCCTTTGTTTCAAAGGTATTCGTGACACAGGACTGTGAGACACCAAGTTCAAATCCTGAGTAGCAAAACCATGGCAAATTGTCTGAACCTTACGACATGGTCACTCTCACCTGCAATGTACGTAATGTACCGAAGGTGGACGCTGCATCCGTATAATTTTTTTTAAAGATATGAAACCTTCATTTATTAATCCAAAGGACGTCATTTCCATGTACAACATTCATTGCATAAACTTGGACATACAAAGTATTATTTTTTTCCCACCTCTGGTTAATAACAGACATACAGTGTACAAGATATTGGCTGGATACATGTTTAAACAAATAGTTGGGTACAACGACTTGTCCATAATACATACCTTTTTTTCATTATTTTTTTCCCATTTTTTTTGTATTTTATAGCTACTAAAGACACAGATTCATTAGCTACTTTGGGTCTCCGAACAATTATTCTAAAGGTGACATAAAACACAGAGGAAAAAGAGATGGGGAAAGGACCGGTAGCTAGCTGCAATGGAGGAAAAAAAACTTCATTCACCAACCCTCCTTTGTTATTATTTTTTGAAAAAGACACGGCCGACCAATGTCATATGAGGGGCGTTCATTAATGATTTCCCCGGACCCACTTCTATTTGTCACAGGACTCTGAAACTGCACATGTGTAATCATAAAAGTCTCTATAGGTTACGTGCCAATTTACAACCCAGAACTGAGAATGGTCGTGATGTGACAGGTGCGGAAGTGGAGTGAGGTTTGAGGATGGACCCAGCGGAATACAGAGCAGTCCTCAAGTTCCTTTACTCGAAAGTCCGCACACCAACGGAGACGTTCGATGAGATGAAAGAGGTTCATGGTGAGGATTCTCCATCATACGATGGAGTCAAGAACTGGCATCGTCAATCCCAATGTGGTCAGACTTTGGTGGAAACAGCTCAGTCCTCAAGTTCCTTTACTTGAAAGTCCGCACACCAAAGGAGACATTCGATGAGATGAAAGAGGTTCATTGTGAGGATTCCCCATCATATAATGGAGTCAAGAACTGGCATCGTCAATTCCAATGTGGTCGGACTTTGGTGGAAACAGCTCAGTCCTCAAGTTCCTTTACTCAAAAGTCCGCACACCAAAGAGAGACATTCGATGAGATGAAAGAGGTTCATGGTGAGGATTTCCCATCAGATGATGGAGTCAAGAACTGGCATCGTCAATCCCAATGTGGTCGGACTTTGGTGGAAACAGCTCAGTCCTCAAGTTCCTTTACTCGAAAGTCCGCACACCAATGGAGACGTTCGATGAGATGAAAGAGGTTCATGGTGAGGATTTCCCATCAGATGATGGAGTCAAGAACTGGCATCGTCAATCCCAATGTGGTCGGACTTTGGTGGAAACAGCTCAGTCCTCAAGTTCCTTTACTCGAAAGTCCGCACACCAAAGGAGACGTTCGATGAGATGAAAGAGGTTCATGGTGAGGATTTCCCATCAGATGATGGAGTCAAGAACTGGCATCGTCAATCCCAATGTGGTCGGACTTTGGTGGAAACAGCTCAGTCCTCAAGTTCCTTTACTCGAAAGTCCGCACACCAAAGGAGACGTTCGATGAGATGAAAGAGGTTCATGGTGAGGATTCCCCAACAGATGATGGAGTCAAGAACTGGCGTTGTCCACTTCAATGTGGTCGGACTTTGGTGGAAACACCTCCAACCTCAGGGCGACCCCACTGTGCTCTTGATGGACACACCATCCAGCAAGTGGAGGTCGTCATTTTGGAAAATCACCACATAACCCTGCGCCACCGAGCCCAAAATGTCAAGATGAGTGTGGGGTCCATGGAAAAAATCACCCAAGACCATCTTCACCTGCATAAGGTCTCCACTCGCTCACTCACACCTTTGCAGAAGCAGGAACGAGGCGAATGCTCTCAGGCTCTCTTGACAAGGACGTGCCATGGAAACCAGGAGGACTTTGTCACCACAGTGGATGAAAGCTGGGTCCATCACTCTGATCCTGAGACTAAAGTCCAGTCAATGCCATGGAAGCATCCTGACTCACTGTCTCCAAAGAAGGGACGTCCCCAACTCTCAGCAGGCAAGGTCATGCTCACAGTATTTTGGGACCAGCACGGAGTTGTACGGATGGATTTCCTAGCAAAGGGGACCAGCATCACTGGGGCAGGCTAGGCCTCACTGTGGGAGGCCATCCAAACCAAGAGACAATGTGGCACGCTCACCAAAGGCAAGGCAAGGCACCCGTTCCCAACTCACCTGTTGCCCAAATGGAAGAAGCATGCTCCTGTGGCTTGGACATTCTTCCGCATCCTCCTGATTCACCCCACCTCGCACCATCGGACTGCCACCTCTTTCCAACAAGGAAGTTATTTTGGAAGGGCAAGCCTTTCTCAGATGATGAGACTCTGCTTTCTGAAGTCACAACATAGCTTTTGGAGCAACCTGTTGACTTCCAGAAGTGAGGTGTTGACATTTGCTTCAAAAGATGGAAGAAGAGTGTGTCCCTAGATGGTGGCACCGATGGAAAGAAGGACTCAGAACTGGGCCAAGTTGTATTGCTCTCAGTCCACAGGAAGTGGGTCGGGGGGGGGGGGATATTTAATGAACACCCCTTTTCCCAACAACTCCATACAACCATCGGAGCCGGTTGTGATGTAGGAAATGTCCATGCAAAACACCAAAATAGAGTGGGTGGGTGCGGATGAGAGAGAGAGAGAAACGTGTGTCCCTACCCACCTCGACGATACATTTCCAACAGTCATTGCCTTGACATTTTACTACAGCGTTGCTATTGGAACAAAAGAAGGCAAAGAAACAACCCCCCCCGAAATCTCCCCCAAACCCCTGGAAAATCAAAACCAAACCACAACCGAAAAATAAAATGGTTTGTCAAGTGCAGTTCCAGCTGCAAATGAGTGGTCTCTTGTATTGTTATTGTTTACCCCTGGTTTTTTTGGGAGCGCACTTTTCGTTAACCATCGGAGAGCGGTGCGCCGACCTTGACAACAACGGCTCCTCTCCTTTGGCTATTTTGGCAGCTGGGTTTTCTATAAAATCTATTTCCATATATTGCACAGAGCTCTGGCTTCTTCGTTGCCGGCGTTCTGTTTACCCGACCGTTCGGGTGGACTACAACTCGTCAGATCGGACGACGTGGAAGAGCGTGACGTTGTAAAGTATCTGGTGACCATTGTTCCAGGCGTAGAGAGCCCTGTCTTTCGGGTTGTAGTCCAACATGGAAATGTGGGAGTATTTATTTAAGAAGGGGATATCTATATACTCGTACGTGGAGGTGTTGGTCTGGTAAGCGTACGTCACCTTGGTGCCGCCGGAGTAACCGTTGGTGACGTATAAAGTGCCGCAGATGATAAAGCCTTCTCCGGCGCTGCGTTTGGGGTAGCTGGTGTTCCACGTCTGGAGGCTCTGCAAGGTGTTGGGGTCCAGCTTGCTGATGACAATGTTCCCCGCGTTCTGGTTGGTGGCGTAGACGGCCCACAGGCCGTTCTCGTCCACCATGAGGTCAATGTCCGAATGCCCACCCCAGGCGTAGTGGTAGACATTGTTGTAGCCGGCGTAGTCCAAGCTCCGCGTCTTGAGGATGGTCTCCGTCTTCAAGTCAAACTTGATGATGATGTGGCTTTGGTATTTGTTGAAATAGATCGAGCCGTTGTAGACCACTTGGCCCGTCCCGGACCATGGATGGGGAAGGCGATGGGACGTGAAGTTGTCCGTGTTCATGAAATCCGACATGGATTTGTACTCCCGAACAAAGCGGTTGTTGTGGTAGCTGTCCATGTACCAGACCTGGAGGAGAAAGGCACAGAAGAGACACAAACATCAGGAAATGGTGTATGTCAGTGTTTCACAACTTTCCTAATGTCTCTTAATATAGTTCCTAATGTTGTGACCCGCAACCATGAAATTATTTTTGTTGCTATTTCATAACTTTGTTGCTACTTCATAACTCCTGCTACAAAACAGGAGCTTTTTTGTTGAGTTTCAGGGCCAGAGAAACAGAAGAACAGGGAGTGTGCTTGCTCCATCCATGTTCAACATCTACACAAATGACCAGCCACTGCCAGAAGGGACAGAGAGTTTCATCTATGCTGATGATCGTGCCATTACTGCTCAAGCAGGGAGCTTTGAGATGGTAGAACAGAAGCTCTCCGAAGCTCTAGGTGCTCTTACTGCCTATTACAGGGAAAACCAGCTGATCCCCAACCATTCTAAAACACAGACATGTGCCTTTCATCTCAAGAACAGACAAGCATCCCGAGCTCTGAGGATTATTACCTGGGAAGGAATCCCACTGGAGCATTGCAGCACACCCAAATACCTGGGAGTCATTCTGGACCGTGCTCTGACCTACAAGAAGTACTGTCTGAACATCAAGCAAAAAGTGGGTGCTAGAAACAATATCATACAAAAGCTGACTGGCACAACCTGGGGATCACAACCAGACTCAGTGAAGACATCCACCCTTGCGCTATGCTACTCTGCTGCTGAGTATGCATGCCCAGTGTGGAACACATCTCACCACGCTAAAACAGTGGATGTGGCTCTGAATGAGACATGCTGCATTATCACGGGGTGTCTGCGCCCTACACCACTGGAGAAATTACACTGCTTAGCCGGTATTGCACCACCTGACATCCGCTGGGAAGTAGCAGCCAATAGTGAAAGGACCAAGGCAGAGACATCCCCAGCTCATCCCTTGTTTGGGTATCAACCAGCACGTCAACAACTTAAATCTAGAAATAGTTTTCTAAGATCTACAGAGACTCACTGGAACACCTCAGCAAGCGAGAGTCCAAAAGTGGCAGGCTCAAACCCAGAACCTCAACCGATGGCTGATACCAGTTGAAGTCCAAAACACCCGGAGGGCCAAAGTTTGCCCATGCCTGATCTGTACTGCTGAATGAATGCAATTTGAAACCACTTGATTTCCCATGGGAGTTGTAGTTTTACAAGGTCTCGAATCTTTTTTCCCCAACGAATGGTGACGTCATAACATACTACAGCTTCTAGTACTCCATGGCATCAATATAGTGGGTTTCTACAGAATGATCCCTCCCACCCAGCATCTGGTTAACTATTCCAGGGTACCGTAATCCAACACAAAGCAATCTAGTGATGGTTAGAAAAGAGGATTAGACAAACTCGGAGAGTCTGTTATTTATTTACTGATGACCTCCGGCCACATGCTTCACGGGGGATCCTCCCTGTAGTCATCTGAAGAGCCACAGTCAGTCTGTTGCTGGACTACAATGCCTATCATTGACTCTGCTAGCTTGGGTTGATGGGAGTCGCTGTCAGATCACAACCCTACACTTGTTTATAGACCTTGACAACCCCGAATATCACATTGGTTGTTACGTTCTACTATTGATAACTCCAAATATTGCAATGACTGTTGCATTCTACTCTTACTAATCCCAAATATGTAACAGTTGTTACGTTCTACTCTTAATAACCCCAAATATCGCAATGGTTGTTAAATTCCATGCTTGGTGACACCAAATATTGCACTGGTTCTTACGTTCTACTCTTAATAACACCAAATATCGCAATGGTTGTTGCGTTCTAAGCTTGATAACCCCAGATAACACAGTGGTTGTTGCTTTCTACACTTGATAACCCCAAATATCGCAATGGCTGGTACGTACTATGCTTGGTGACACCAAATATTGCACTGGTTATGACGTTCTACTCTTAATAACCCCAAATATCACAATAGTTGTTACGTTCTACAATGGTTGTTCTGTTCTACACGTGATAACCCCAAATATTGTTACGGTTGTTGCTTTCTACACTTGATAACCCCAAATATCACAATGGTTGGTATGTTCTATGCTTGGTGACACCAAATATCGAAATGGTTGTTACGTTCTATGCTTGATGACCACAAATATCTCCATGGTTGTTACGTTCTACTCTTAATAACACCAAATATTGCAATGGTTGTTAAATTCTATGCTTGGTGACACCAAATATCGCAATGGTTGTTACGTTCTAAGTTTGATAACCCAAATATCACAATGGTTGTTACATTCTATGCTTGATGGCCCCAAATATTGTAACGGTTGTTACGTTCTACGCTTGGTGACCCCAAATATTGCAACGGTTGTTATGTTCTACTCTTAATAACTCCAAATATCGCAATGGTTGTTAAATTCTATGCTTGGTGACACCAAATATCGCAATGGTTGTTACGTTCTACTCTTAATAACCCCAAATATCGCAATGGTTGTTACATTTTACGCTTGGTGACACCAAATATTGCAATGGTTGTTAGGTTCTACTCTTAATAAACTCAAATATCACAATGATTGTTAAATTCTATGCTTGGTGACACCAAATATAACTATGGTTGTTATGTTCTACTCTTAATAACACCAAATATCGCAATGGTTGTTACGTTCTTCTCTTAATAACACCAAATATCGCAATGGTTGTTACGTTCTTCTCTTAATAACACCAAATATCTTAATGGTTGTTACGTTCTTCTCTTAATAACACCAAATATCGCAATGGTTGTTGCGTTCTACTCTTATTAACACCAAATATCTTAATGGTTGTTACGTTCTTCTCTTAATAACACCAAATATCGCAATGGTTGTTACGTTCTTCTCTTATTAACACCAAATATCGCAATGGTTGTTACATTCTACGCTTGGTGACACCAAATATCACAATGGTTGTTATGTTCTTCTCTTAGTAACCCTAAATATCACAATGGTTGTTACGTTCTAAGTTTGATAATCCAAATATCACAATGGTTGTTATGTTCTACGCTTGATGACCCCAAATATCGCAATGATTGTTAAATTCTACGCTTGGTGACACCAAATATCGTAATGGTTGTTATGTTCTTCTCTTAATAACACCAAATATCGCAATGGTTGTTACGTTCTATGCTTGGTGACACCAAATATTGCAATGGTTGTTATGCTCTTCTCTTAATAACCCCAAATATCTCAATGGATGTTACGTTCTAGTCTCAATAACCCTAAATATCACAATGACTGTTACATTCTACTCCTAATAACACCAAATATCACAATGAGTGTTATGTTCTACACTTGATAACCCCTAGTATCGCAATGGTTGTTACGTTCGTCTCTTTCCCAAAACAGCGAGCGTGTGTTATCCCTCTCCAGCTTTAAAGGTTTACAGATCAGACTAGCTCCGTCTCTTGCATCAACGGAGGGCACAGTGCTCGGCGAGAGCTTCAGAAATGACAAGATTGCAAAGAATCCGTCACTTGGTGAATGCCCGCTCCCCTCTTCTCTGCCTTTTGGAGAGGAACAAAACATCGCTGCTTTCTTTTAGTAATCTCCTACCTAACGCTTCCTCCTCCCGCTGACTTCAGGTTGGGACAGAGATGACAAGAATCCCCCCCCCCCCCATTTGATTATCACATTGGAATTGTGTTAAAAGAAGATGAGGAAAGGGCGCCTGGGGTGGAAGGCAGCCCAATAAGGCAGCTTCGACACTTTAGATGACAATCATTGTATACACCAGAGAACGCACACCTCCATAGAAACTAGAACTGTTGGATAGCACCAAAATGAGTGCTTCTTTTGGGGGGGGGAAATAGGAAGAAAGTAGTATGGAATCATAGAATCAAAGAGTTGGAAGAGACCTCATGGGCCGTTATCCAGTCCAACCCCATTCTGCCAAGAAGCAGGGATACTGCATTCAAATCACCCCTGACAGATGGCCATCCAGCCTCTGTTTAAAAGCTTCCAAAGAAGGAGCCTCCACCACACTCCGGGGCAGAGAGTTCCACTGCTGAACGGCTCTCACAGTCAGGAAGTTTTTCCTCATGTTCAGATGGAATCTCCTCTTGTAGTTTGAAGCCATTGTTCCGCGTCCTAGTCTCCAAGGAAGCAGAAAACAAGCTTGCTCCCTCCTCCCTGTGGCTTCCTCTCACATATTTATACATGGCTATCATATCTCCTCTCAGCCTTCTCTTCTTCAGGCTAAACATGCCCAGCTCCTCAAGCCGCTCATCATAGGGCTTGTTCTCCAAACCCCTGATCTGCTTCCTCCTCCCTGTGGCTTCCTCTCACATATTTATACATGGCTATCATATGTCCTCTCAGCCTTCTCTTCTTCAGGCTGAACATGCCCAGCTCCTTAAGCCGCTCTTCATAGGGCTTGTTCTCCAGACCCCTGATCTGCTCCCTCCTCCCTGTGGCTTCCTCTCACATATTTATCCATGGCTATCATATGTCCTCTCAGCCTTCTCTTTTTCAGGCTGAACATGCCCAGCTCCTTAAGCCGCTCCTCATAGGGCTTGTTCTCCAGACCCCTGATTTGCTCCCTCCTCCCTGTGGCTTCCTCTCACATATTTATACATGGCTATCATATCTCCTCTCAGCCTTCTCTTCTTCAGCCTGAACATGCCCAACTCCTTAAGCCGCTCCTCATAGGGCTTGTTCTCCAGACCCCTGATCTGCTCCCTCCTCCCTGTGGCTTCCTCTCACATATTTATACATGGCTATCATATCTCCTCTCAGCCTTCTCTTCTTCAGGCTAAACATGCCCAGCTCCTTAAGCCGCTCCTCATAGGGCTTGTTCTCCAGACCCTTGATCTGCTCCCTCCTCCCTGTGGCTTCCTCTCACATATTTATACATGGCTATCATATCTCCTCTCAGCCTTCTCTTCTTCAGGCTAAACAGGCCCAGCTCCTTAAGCCGCTCCTCATAGGGCTTGTCCTCCAGACCCCTGATCTGCTCCCTCCTACCTGTGGCTTCCTCTCACATATTTATACATGGCTATCATATCTCCTCTCAGCCTTCTCTTCTTCAGGCTAAACATGCCAGCTCCTTAAGCCGCTCCTCATAGGGCTTGTTCTCCAGACCCCTGATCTGCTCACTCCTCCCTGTGGCTTCCTCTCACATATTTATACATGGCTATCATATCTCCTCTCAGCCTTCTCTTCTTCAGGCTAAACATGCCCAGCTCCTTAAGCCGCTCCTCATAGGGCTTGTTCTCCAGACCCTAATCTGCTCCCTCCTCCCTGTGGCTTCCTCTCACATATTTATACATGGCTATCATATGTCCTCTCAGCCTTCTCTTCTTCAGGCTGAACATGCCCAGCTCCTTAAGCCGCTCTTCATAGGGCTTGTTCTCCAGACCCCTGATCTCCTCCCTCCTCCCTGTGGCTTCCTCTCACATATTTATACATGTCTCCTCTCAGCCTTCTCTTCTTCAGGCTGAACATGCCCAGCTCCTTAAGCCGCTCCTCATTGGGCTTGTTCTCCAGACCCCTGATCTGCTCCCTCCTCCCTGTGGCTTCCTCTCACATATTTATACATGTCTCCTCTCAGCCTTCTTTTCTTCAGGCTGAACATGCCCAGCTCCTTAAGCCGCTCCTCATTGGGCTTGTTCTCCAGACCCCTGATCTGCTCCCTCCTCCCTGTGGCTTCCTCTCACATATTTATACATGGCTATCATGTCTCCTCTCAGCCTTCTCTTCTTCAGGCTGAACATGCCCAGCTCCTTAAGCCGCTCCTCATTGGGCTTGTTCTCCAGACCCTTGATCATTTGAGTCGCCCTCCTCTGGACACATTCCAGCTTGTCAATAGTATGATAGCAACCAGCTTTTTAAAGGAACTAACTAAAAAAGCAAAATAGACTGGAACTATCTAGACAAAAGACTGGAACCCCCATCTAGACAAAATACTCCGATGGATGCACTGGACTAATTTTCGAGGAACCTGCTGAAAAAAGCAAATGCAATTCTATTCTGCATCAATAGGAACATAGTTTCTAGACCAAGGGAAGTAATAGTCCCACTCTATTTTACTTTGGTCACGGCTAAAAAAAACACTCCTTTTGTGATCCACAAAAATTCACTCCTTTTGTGATCCACCAAAGGCTAGCTGCTCCCATTTCAGTTGGGAGCAGCTAGCCTTTGGTGGATCCATCATACTAAACCTATTTTGGGTTCAGGGACTTGAGTCATTCCTTTAAAGTTCGGACAAAAACACAGATCGAATTGGCTGACCTTTTGACATGGACATCACTGGCAACAATGGTCCGTGACAGTCCAAATAAAGGTATTAACCAGATCTGATGGGCTTAATTCTCTGTAGGAAAAGAATCACAACAATGGATGGAGTCTGGATTGAATAATCTTACCTTGTTTTCACCTTCTGGAGCCACCGGATCCGTCATCCAGGAACCAAATCTCGATCCAGATGTTTTTACTGTAATCGGATCGCCGATTGCTGTCAGTTTCCCGCAGGCTGCAAAAGAGGTGAATGCAATGAAACCAAGGAAGAGACGTCTTGAAACGTGTCCTTCCTCAAACTCCAGAAATTATGATAATTTTGGGAAATGAAATTCCATTAGTCCAGAGATGGGCAAAGGTCTGGGAGCCAAGTCCAATGAGGAATGGCTTAGGGAGCTAAGCCATTCCTCATAGGACTTGGCTGGAGCATGGGTAAGTGAACCCATGGATATTGGGTCTGTGGATAAGGGGTCATCCTGGAAATGGTAAAGACTACCCATAAGATGAATTCACCAATCTGGAGAATGTAACAGGTCCCATCTAGATCTGACCCATGGAATCTGTTTATTGGATTTGGCCAATCCATTCTACTTGGCATTGCCAATACAATTCAGGCCTTCATCTTTTTCCATTCAATGGGTTGGGCAACCCAACCCAGCCATTCAGTGAGTTGGACAACCCAACCCATCCATTCAATGAGTTGAGCAACCCAACCCATCCATTCAATGAGTTGGGCAACCCAACCCATCCATTCAAGGAGTTGGACAACCCAACCCATCCATTTAATGAGATGGACAACCCAACCCATCCATTCAATGAGCTGGGCAACCCAACCCATCCATTCAAGGAGTTGGACAACCCAACCCATCCATTCAATGAGTTCAGAGAAGGTCGAAAGGGGATTTGATGGCTATGTTTACATATCGGAAAGGATGTCCTATTGAGGAGGGAGAAAGGTCACTTTTGGTTCCTCCAACGACCAAAACATAGAGCAACCTCAACCGTGGTCTTCAAAGTCACAGTCCAACTCTATGCTAAGCTGGCTCTAATAATAAGAAACTGTCAGTTGGGACTTTGTTTTGTAACCGTACTGTATGCTTTGAGAAATAAAGCCTCCCCACTCTGTTGTGAAGCAACTTTTTCACCAGAAAGCTGCAGAAGTTGCCTCACAAACAGAGTGGGAAGGCTTTATTTCTCAAAGTATACAGTGCGGGTACAAAACAAAGTCCCAACTGACAGTTGATTTCTCTCGAGTCTCCTATCCCTCACCCTTCTTTTCTACCATTTCCATGGAAACCCTTCCCTTGTTTCAAGTATTCACAGGCCAGGGCAGGCCAAGGCATGGCTTTCTGTCTTCGTTCCACACAAAACCAGGAAAGAAGGTCATGACACAATGGGCTCAAACTAGGAAGAACTTCCTGACGGTAACAGCTATTCAATGGTGGCATATGCTGCCTTGGAATGTGATGGAGTCTTCTTCTCTGGATGGGAGGACTAGGATTGGGTCTTCCTGCATTGGTTGAACAGGGTTGGATTGGACAACCCTAGGGTTCTCTTCCAACTCTATGTTGGCAAACAGAAGCTATGTCCAATCCCATTGGGTGGAGAACCAACATCTCTAGAAAATGGGACCATTGATGATCTCTTCCCAATATCTAGGTTAGTTACTTCCTTGGTCAGGCTTTGTCATGGCTTTCCTTTGAGGCTGAGAGAGGGTTCTCTTCCAACTCTATATTGGCAAACAGAAGCTATGCCCAATCCCATTGGGTGGAGAACCAACATCTCTAGAGAATGGGACCATTGATGAACTCTTCCCAATATCTGTTAGTTACTTCCTTGGTCAGGCTTTGTCATGGCTTTCCTTTGAGGCTGAGAGAGGGTTCTCTTCCAACTCTATGTTGGCAAACAGAAGCTATGCCCAATCCCATTGGGTGGAGAACCAACATCTCTAGAGAATAGGACCATTGATGATCTCTTCCCAATATCTAGGTTAGTTACTTCCTTGGTCAGGCTTTGTCATGGCTTTCCTTTGAGACTGAGAGAGGGTTCTCTTCCAACTCTATATTGGCAAACAGAAGCTATGCCCAATCCCATTGGGTGGAGAACCAACATCTCTAGAGAATGGGACCATTGATGAACTCTTCCCAATATCTGTTAGTTACTTCCTTGGTCAGGCTTTGTCATGGCTTTCCTTTGAGGCTGAGAGAGTGTCACTCGCTCAAGGTCAGCCAGTGGGTTTCCGTAGCTGAACATCTAGGGATCTCAACTGTGGTCTTCAAAGTCATAGTCCAACACTATGCCAAGCTGGCTCTTACTTGGAAGTAACAAAAGTAATAATTGGATTGGATAACCGCTGGAGTTCTCTTCCAACTCTATGTTGGCAAAGCTATGACCAATCCCATTGGGTGGAGAACCAACATCTCTAGAGAATGGGACCATTGATGAACTCTTCCCAATATCTGTTAGTTACTTCCTTGGTTAGGCTTTGTCATGGCTTTCCTTTGAGGCTGAGAGAGGGTCACTCGCTCAAGGTCAGCCAGTGGGTTTCCGTAGCTGAACATCTAGGGATCTCAACTGTGGTCTTCAAAGTCATAGTCCAACACTATGCCAAGCTGGCTCTTACTTGGAAGTAACAAAAGTAATAATTGGATTGGATAACCCTGAAGTTCTCTTCCAACTCTATGTTGGCAAAGCTATGACCAATCCCATTGGGTGGAGAACCAACATCTCTAGAGAATGGGACCATTGGTGAACTCTTCATGACTTCCTTGGTCAGGCTTTGCCATGGCCTTCCTTTGAGGCTGAGAGGGTGAAATTTGCTCAAGGTCATTTCAGTGGGTTTCCGTAGCTGAACCTCTATGGATCCCAAAGATTTGTTCATGTTTGGTGGAGCTTCATCCTTCTCCTCCATCCCTCTTGTTGGCTGAATGCTTGTAGGGACACACACACACACCTATCCATGGATGCTACCATATCACAGATGACTTTGAAGTGCTTCAAAGTCATAGTCCAACTCTATGCTAAGCTGGCTCTAATAATAATAATAATAATAATAATAATAATAATAGTGGCCATGGAAATTGTTTTGTTTCCTATCTACTTTGGCATTGCTTGCTTTCCAAGATGTCTATCTTTGTAAGTGACCACAGACGTGCACCATATTTGTATCCTTATCTCGTCCTCCAAATGTTTGAGACTTCAATTCCTAGAAGCCTCCTCTCACCCAACGATTGGGGATTCTGGGAGCTGAAGTCCCAAATACCTGGAAGTCCGGAGGATGTGGTGCTGTGTTGGATGCCTCCTAAGGAGAGCTTTGTGATTGACGTCGGCGTTTGGCTGCATTCCCTCCCTTGCTGTGCCACCCCTAGTCATGTGCCCAGGCTCGCTTTCATCCCTCTTTCTGTGATTCTAATTAAAGCTAATTGAACAGGGGAAGCGTCAGATGCTCTGGGCGTCTTCCCTCCCGCTTAATGAGAGACCCGGCATGGTGATAATGCCCTTCGGAGAGGAAGCTCTCCTGACAACAGCTGGATCGCCAACGGTGCCAAGGAACAAACAAGGGTTGTTGACAGCAGACAGCCTGTTTTCGGAAGAGTTGGCTGGCAGCTCCTTCAGTTCGGGGGAAAAGGAGCGGCTTTGTGTTTTTGGCTTCCAAAAGCGACTTGTCAGTGGCCCAATTATAGTAGACCCCCTGTAAATACTTGTGTTTGTGTCCCGGATATCCAAATCAATGGATGTTGACGTCCGGGACTTTATGTGGGGAATATTTTGATTGTTGAACTCATGGATTTGGAGGGACAACTGTACTCCATTGTAGGCATTCTTCTCAACTCTAAAGGAACTATCCAAGGTGCTGAACCTATATTCAGTCCAGTCAGACCTTCACGTTGTAGGAGAAAGGAGATTTCCACAGAATATTAGGAAAGGCTATTGGAGAGTGGAATTCATTTCCTGGAAAGGTAGTGCAGAACTCCTTGGTTGGAGGTGTGTAAATGGAAATTGGTTGATGTTCCACTCCATCTATGGACTTCAGAACCTTAGAGTCCTTCCAAACTCTTCATCCCTTTGTCTATATCATATTTTCTTCCCAAAGGTGGAACCTGATGAAACCAAAATGTCCTTTCTCAACAGCTAGCTACCCAAATCCAGTGACCAATGGGTCCATTTTGGAACAAGCAACAGTACAACTCTGTATCCACAGGGGATACATTTCAAGATGTCCGTGGATGCTTCTACCATGAGTACGCCAGTGTTTTGACTCTACTTGGGCCAGAAGGACCTAGAGAGGCCCACAATTCTTGGAMGGGAAACGTATTCTGGAGCATGGGTAAATGAAACCATAGATATTGAGTCTGTGGATAAGGGGTCATCCTGGAAATGGTAAAGACTACCCATAAGATGAATTCACCAATCTGGAGAATGTAACAGGTCCCATCTAGATCTGACCCATGGAATCTGTTTATTGGATTGGGCTGATCTACTCTACTTGGCATTGCCAATACGATTCAGGCCTTCATTTTTTTRCATTCAGTGGGTTGGACCCAACCCAACCCATCAATTCAATGAGTTGGGCAACCCAACCCATCCATTCAATGAGTTGGGCAACCAAACCCATCCATTTAATGAGTTGGGCAACTCAACCCATCCATTCAATGAGTTGGACAACCCAACCCATCCATTTAATGAGTTGGACAACCCAACCCATCCATTTAATGAGTTGGGCAACCCAATCCATCCATTCAATGAGTTGGGAACCCAACCCATCCATTCAATGAGTTGGGCAACCCAACCCACCCATTTAATGAGTTGGGCAACTCAACCCATCCATTCAATGAGTTGGACAACCCAACCCATCCATTTAATGAGTTGGGCAACCCAACCCATCCATTCAATGAGTTGGGCAACCCAACCTATCCATTCAAGGAGTTGGACAACCCAACCCATCCATTCAAGGAGTTGGACAACCCAACCCATCCATTCAAGGAATTGGGCAACCCAACCCATCCATTCAATGAGTTGGGCAACCCAACCAATCCATTTAATGAGTTGGACAACCCAACCCATCCATTCAATGGGTTGGACAACCCAACCCAGCCATTCAATGGGTTGAGTTGTAATTTTTACACCACCCATTTCCCACCAGGATTCAACCCAAGGTGTTCTGGTGTCCCTTGAATGGTGGAACCAATGGGATTACTTCAGACGGTTCTGTTGGAGATCCCTTTCCTCACTTGTTGGCTTTAATAACATTAACCATAGAGTACCTGGGTTGTTTCTTTCTGGACTTCAGGTCAAAAAAAGAGAAGAACATGGAGGTTGTCGCTCAAGGAGTTCCCTTTGGTGTTCCCAAAGATTTGTTCATGTTTGGTGGAACTTCATCCCTCTCCTCCATCCCTCTTGTTGGCTGAATGCTTGTAGGGACACACATACACACCTATCCATGGATGCTACCATATCTCAGATGACTTTGAAGAGCTTCAAGGGGCCTTATGTTTGCTTAGAGAAGTGGCGTGACAATGGGCAACCCATCAAAAAGCTGGAAAGATGGGTGATATTTTCGACTCTGGCCATGTTTTCTGGCCTAGGTGTGTGAAGTGTTTCTGAAGTTTGGGAGAACCTAATGGATGATAGGTTTCCAAATGCTTGGGAAAGACACATTCTCTTTTATATTTCTCATACATCCAACCATAAAGGGACTTTGGTCTCAACTATAGGAGATGTTTTTCAACCAACGGGGGCTTCATAAGTGTTGGTTTATCCAGTTATTGGATTGATTTGGTCTCCAATTGGAGTGGTCAGTGTGAGCCCCCCTCTAGATGTAATTGAGTTGCAATTCTGGACACTATTGGAATGGGGATGCCTCCCAGGGGCTGCTGGGAGTTGCCATCCCACCACATCTGCATCACCACCACCCTTGGATTTAGGGAAAGAAGGCATTGTAACTCTGTATTGATTTTTGGGCATTTACCTCTTGGGCAATGGCTACCAGAATATGTCAAGAGTGTCCATGTGGAGTGGGGTGATGCTGAGAGTGGCCCTCCAGAATTTTTTTAAAGTATTGTATATACCAGTGTTTCTCAACCGTCCTAATGCTGCGACCACTTAATACAGTTCCTCATGTTGTGGTGACCCCCAACCATAACATTATTTTCGTTGCCACGTAAATATCTGATAAGCAGGATGTATTTTCATTCACTGGACCAAATACACGGTACACCCAAATTTGAATACTGGTGGGGTTGGGGGTATATTGATTTTGTCATTTGGGAGTTGTACTTCCTGGGATTTATAGTTCACCTATAATCAAAGAGCATTCTGAACTCCACCAATGATGGAATTGAACCAAACTTGGCACACAGAACTCCCATGAGCAACAGAAAATACAGGAAGGGTTTGGTGGGCATTGACGTTGAGTTTGGGAGTTGCAGTTCACCTACATCCAGAGAGCACTTGGACTCAAACAATGATAGATCTGGACCAAACTTGGAATGAGTACTCACTATGCCCAAATGTGAACACTGGTGGAGTTTGGGGAAAATAGATATTTGGGAGTTGTAGTTGCTGGGATTTATAGTTAACCTACAATCAAAGAGCATTCTGAACCCCACCAATGATAGGATTGGGCCACATTTCTCACGCAGAGCCCCCAAGCCTTGAAGGGACTCGCTGTTGTGAGCCTAGCGTTTCTGGGATTTATAGTTCACCTACAATCAAAGAACATTTTGAACCACACCAATGATAGGATTGGACCACACTTCCCACACAGAACCTCCAAACCTTGAAGGCACTCGCTGGTGCAAGCCTCCCTCCAGCCTCGCATGCTTTCCTCCACCTGCACATGCGCACCACGATGCCATGTGCCGAGCACTCCTGCTCTTCCCTCCCTTCTTTCGAGTCTCAGAAACAGCCCTCCCCCTTGGCTGTGGGGCTGACCAATCACAGCGTAGGAGGGCTTTTGTTGATAGGATTCACCGTCTGTTTCCAAAATGGAAGAGAAGGGCAGGCGGAGAGATCTTCAGCCTTCTCTGCCAAACATCAACAGAAATATATGTTTTCTGATGGTGTTTGGTGACCCCTCTCAACCCCGTTGCAACCCTCCCAGTGGTCGCGACCCCCAAGTAGAGAAACACTGGTATATATTCATGTATAAGTTGGTCATGTTTGGGGACCAAAATTATGGATTTTGATTCAACATGTGGATATGTCAAATAGGGCCATGTTCCAGACCTCTGGTGAAACCCCGGGCATTGAAACCACATGTGGAATTTGGCTCACGGAGTGGGCTGAGCTCCCCAACAGAAGCCTTTGGAGATCCGTCAACGGGGAACTGGAGTGTGGATGCCCCACTTTTGCCCTCCCCGGGGGTTGGGATTGGGGGGGGGATGCAGTGGGGGTGCCTCCTCCCTGCGAGGTGTGCAAGCCTACCTAATTTTTGCATGCACGCCCGCAGCCTCTCTTCAAGATTTGAGACTCTGTTCTGTAGCTCTTCGTAGTCAAAGGCGCCAATCTCCTCCTGGAGCTCGTTTAGAACTGACGTCAGATTCTGGACTTCCTCTTTAAACTGCAAAACCAATTTGGCATCGGCTTTGTACTCCTCCAACACTGGGATCAAGGGCCTAAGCTCCTCCATTTTCGCTTTTATCGCCTGCAAGGTTAAAATAAGCTTGGTTTCAGTGCTCGGAGTTCAACATCTCTCTCTCTCTCTCTCTTTTCCCCCTGATGCTGGGATCGGGTCGGGGTATTTTTTTAGGGAGGGAGGGGCACCCACGTCCTAATTATTATTAATCTTATTGTGGAAAGGTTTTCTTTCTTTGGGTTGTTGTGAGTTTTCTGGGCTGCCTGGCCATGTTCCGGTAGCATTCTCTCCTGACATTTTGCCCACATCTATGGCAGGCATCCTCAGAGGTTGTGAGGTCTGTTGGAAATGAGGAAGAACTCTTGTCTGTTTGAGGCAAGTGTGAATGTTACCATTAGCCACCTTGATTAGCATTGAATAGCCTCCAAAGCTTTGCTGCTTCATGCCTGGGGGAATCCTTTGTTGGGAGGTGTTAGCTGACCCTGTCTGGAAATTCTTTCTTTATTTACTATCCTGATTTTAAAGTTTTAAAAATACTGTTAGCTAGATTTTGTTGATTTTCATAGTTTCCAAAATCAGGACAGTAAATAAAGAGTAACGCTCAGAAAACAGGGGAATTCCAGACAGGAAACAATCAGGACCAGCTAACACCACCCAACAAAGGATTCCCCCAGGCAGGATGTAGCTAGGCCATTTAATGATAAGAGAAGGAAGGAAAGATGAAAAAAGAAGGAGGAAGGAAAAAGAGAAGGAAGGAGGGAAGAAAAAGGGAAGGAAGGAAAGACAAAGGGGAAGGAAGGAAGGATTAAGAAAGAGGGGAGGTAAGGAGGAGGAAAGGGAGAAAGAAGGAAAGACAAAGGGGAGGGAAGGATGGAAGGAAGGGAAGGAGGACGGAAAGAGAGAAAGGAAGGACGGAAAAGGAAGGGAAGGATGGAAGGAGAGAGAGGGAAGGAGGGAAGGAAAGAGGGAAGGAAAGACAAAGGGGAAGGAAGGAAGGATGAAAGAGGGAGGAAGGAGGAAGGAAAAAGAGAAAGAAGGAAGGGAAAGGAAGGAGAAAGAAGGAGGAGGAAAAGAGGGAGGAAGGAGAAAAGGAGGAGAAGGATGAAGGAAAGAAGGGAAGGAGGAAGGAAGGGAAGGAAGGATGAAAGGAAGGAGGGGGAAGGGGGAAGAAAGAGGGAAGAAAAGATAAAAGGGAAGGAAGGATGAAAGGGAAGGAGGAAAAAGAAGGAGGGAAGGATAAAGAAAGAGAGAAGAAGGACAAAGAAGGAGGAAAGAGGAAGGAAAGAGGGGAGAGGGAGGAAGGAAGAAAAGAAAAAAGGAAGGAAGGATGAAAAGGGAAGAAAAGAAGGAAGGAGGGAAGGATAAAGGAAAGAGAGAAGGAAGGGAAGAGGAGAAAGAGGAGAGAGGGAGGAAAGAGGGAAGAAAGGAAAGACAAAAGGGGGAAGGGGAGGAAGGAAAGAGAAGGGAAAGAGAGAAGAAGAAGGAAGGATGGAAGGAAAAGAGGGAAGGGAAGGAAAGAGGGAAGGAAAGAAAAAAGGGAAGGAAGGATGAAAGGGAAGGAGGAAGGAAAAAAAAGGAAGGGAGTGGAGGATAAAAGGAAAGAGAGAAGGAAGGAAGAAGAAAAAGGGAAGGAGGGAAGGAAGAGAGAGAGGAAGGAAAGAAGGAGGAGGGAGAAAGAGGGAGGAAGGGAGGAAGGGAAGGAGGAAGGAAGGAGGGAAGGGTGGAAGGGAATGAGAAAGAGGGAGGAAAAGAGGCGAAAGAGAGAAGGAAGGAAGGATAGGATGGTGAGAGAGAGGAGGAAACAATCAGGGCCAACTAATCACCTCCCAACAAAGGATTCCCCCAGGCAGTAAGAAGCCAGGCTATGAAATGCTAATCAAGGTGGTCAATTGCAACATTCACACTTGCCTCAAACAAAGATCTATAAATCCCACTCGCCTAGTTTCCAACAGATTTCACAACCTCTGAGGATGCCTGCCAAAGATGTGGGCGAAACGTCAGGAGAGAATGCTTCCGGAACATGACCCCAGACAGCCCGGAAACCTCACAGCGACCCAGTGATTCCGGCCACGAAAGCCTTCGACAACACGTTTCTTTCTTTTGCAAAGAGTAAACAAAGCAACGTTTCTACGTCTAAAACCATAGGAAACAGTCTGAAGAACGCCGTCTTATTTGGGAAAAAGGCCTTTATTTAGAATATTTTTTTTTTTTCGTTTTTAGAATGCAACATCTGAAGGTTACATGCTTCGGTCACAGACACAAATTCGTTTAGTTTTTTTGTCTTTTCCATAAATTAATCATGACGATGATGGTTAAGAGGAGAAGAATAAGAAGAAGAAGAAGGGATGCAAACGCGGTGGTGGAATGCGTCTCTACATTGGAACATGCAAAGGAAGAGCGCTCGGCGAAGAGGAAGGTGGGGAATGGTGCGGAGAAAAGAAAAGAACGCAAAAGGGAACACAAAGAAAAGAGAAACCAAAGGATGGGAGTGGCGGTGGGAAAGCTTTCTGCCCTCGTATATATATTTTTTTGTATTTTTTTTTCTCAGGGGGGGATGAATTGCTTCTTCAGCCAGTGCGACATTGTAAAAATTTCGTTAAAGTTAGCCCTGCAAGCAAGAAAATGAGACACTGTTGAAGAGCCGGCTCACTAACCTGCCTTCAGACACATTATTATCAACATTTGCTAATTGTTTTTAATTAAATAATAATAATAAAAATAATTTTAAAAAAACAATAGGCGCAAACTTTGAGTTGCTGCACGTTTTCCGGGTGGAAGCATTCTCTCCTGACGTTTCGCCCACATCTATGGCAGGTATCCTCAGAGGTTGTGAGGTCTGTTGGAAACTAGGAAAATTGGGTTTGTATACCTGTGGAATGATGTCCAGGGTGGGAGAAAGAACTACAAGTGTGAATGTTGCCATTGGCCACCTTGATTAGCATTTAATGGTGTCGCAGCTTCAAGGTCTGGCTGCTTCCTGCCTGTTTATATACCTGTGGAATGATGTCCAGGGTGGGAGAAAGAACTACAAGTGTGAATGTTGCCATTGGCCACCTTGATTAGCATTTAATGGTGTCGCAGCTTCAAGGTCTGGCTGCTTCCTGCCTGTTTATATATCTGTGGAATGATGTCCAGGGTGGGAGAAAGAACTACAAGTGTGAATGTTGCCATTGGCCACCTTGATTAGCATTTAATGGTGTCGCAGCTTCAAGGTCTGGCTGCTTCCTGCCTGTTTATATATCTGTGGAATGATGTCCAGGGTGGGAGAAAGAACTACAAGTGTGAATGTTGCCATTGGCCACCTTGATTAGCATTGAATGGTCTTGCAGCTATAAAGTCCGGCTGCTTCCTGCCTGTTTATATATCTGTGGAATGATGTCCAGGTGGGAGAAAGAACTATAAGTGTGAATGTTTCCATTGGCCATCTTGATTAGCATTGAATGGCCTTCAGCTTCAAGGTCTGGATGCTCCCTGCCTGTTTATATATCTGTGGAATGATGTCCAGGTGGGAGAAAGAACTACAAGTGTGAATGTTGCCATTGGCCACCTTGTTTAGCACTGAATGGTCTTGCAGCTACAAGGTCTGGCTGCTTCCTGCTTGTTTATTTATCTGTGGAATGATGTCCAAGACCATTCAATGCTAATCAAGGTGGCCAATGGTCCAGGGTGGGTTCACACTTTGTAGTTCTTTCTCCCACCCTGGACATCATTCCACATATATATAAACAGGCAGGAAGCAGCCGGACTTTGTAGCTGCAAGACCATTCAATGCTAATCAAGGTGGCCAATGGCAACATTGGAGGCAAGTGTGAATGTTGCCATTGGCCACCTTGATTAGCATTGAATGGTCTTGCAGCTTCAAGGTCTGGCTGCTTCCTGCCTGTTTATGTATCTGTGGAATAATATCCAGGGTGGGAGAAAGAACTCTTGTCTGCTGGAGGCAAGTGTGAATGTTGCCATTGGCCACCTTGATTAGCATTGAATGGTCTTGCAGCTACAAAGTCTGCCTGCTTCCTGCCTGCTTATATATCTGTGGAATGGTGTCCAGTGTGGGAGAAAGAACTCTTGTCTGTTGGAGGCAAGGGTGAATGTTGCCATTGGCCACCTTGATTAGCATTGAATGGCCTAGTAGCTTTCAAGGTGTGGCTTCTTACTGCCTGGGGGCATCCTTTGTTGAGAGGTGATTAGCTGTCTCTTGTCTGGGTTGGAGGCAAGTGTGAATGTTGCCATTGGCCACCCTGATTAGAATTGAATGGACTTGCAGCTGCAAGGTCTAGCTGCTTCCTGTCTGTTTATATATCTGTGGAATGATGTCCAGGGTGGGAGAAAGAACTCTTGCCTATTGGAGGCAAATGTGAATGTTGCCATTGGTCACCTTGATAAGCATTTAATGGTCTTGCATCTTCAAGGTCTGGCTGCTTCTTGCCTGTTTATCTGTGGAATGATGTCCAGGGTGGGAGAAAGAACTACAAGTGTGAATGTTGCCATTGGCCACCTTGATTAGCATTGAATGGCCTTGCAGCTACAAGGTCTGGCTGCCTCCTGCTTGTTTATATATCTGTGGAATGATATCCAGGGTGGGAGAAAGAACTACAAGTGTGAATGTTGCCATTGGCCACCTTGCTTAGCATTGAATGGTCTTGCAGCTACAAGGTCTGGCTGTTTCCTGCCTGTTTATATATCTGTGGAATGATGTCCAGGGTGGGAGACATTTGTTGGGAGGTGTTAGCTGACCCTGATTGTTTCCTGTCTGGAATTCTGTTTTTTGAGTGTCATTCTTTATTTACTGTCCTGATTCTAGAGGTTTTTTTAAGCTTTGTAGCTTCTTCCTGCCTGGGAGAATCTTTTGTTAAACTTTGTTAGCTGATCCTGATTGTTTACTGTCTGGAATTCCCCTGTTTTTTTAGTGTTGCTCTTTATTTACTGTCCTGATTCTAGAGTTTTTTTAAGCTTTGTAGCTTCTTCCTGCCTGGGGGAATCCTTTGTTGGGAGGTGTTAGCTGATCCTGATTGTTTCCTGTCTGGAATTCCCCTGTTTTTTGAGTGTAGTTTTTAAAAAAACTCTAAAATCAGGACAGTAAATAGAGCAACACTCAAAAAACAAGGGCAACCCAGACAGGAACCAACCAGGGCCAGCTAACACCTACCAACAAAGGATTCCTCCAGGTGGAAAGGAGCCAGGCTTTGAAACTGAAAGGTTACTCGATGTTAATGGCAACATTCACATTTGCCTCCAACCGACACGAGTTTGTTCTCCCACCCTGGACATCATTCCACAGATATATAAGCCCCACTTGCCATGTTTCCAACAGACCTCACAACCTCTGAGGATGCCTGCCATAGGTGTGGGCGAAACATCAGGAGAGAATGCTTCTGGAACATGGCCAGACAGCCTGGAAGACTCACAGCAACCCAATGATTCCGGCCATGAAAGCCATCAACAACACATTGGCTCAAACTTCGCTTGTGGCGACTGCTTTGGAGTGCAATCTCAACTCAAGATGGCCCAAACTGCGTTGAAGGCCAACCCAAATTTTGAACTTTTGGCTAGGAAGTGGCCATTTTGGCCAATGGGTGGTCACTTTTGCCAAGCACCACTGGACAGCCACTTGGACTTGCGCCCAACTTGGTTGCCACCTCTTTTGAGTTCAGATTGCATGCCTCCTTAGAAGTCAACACAACTGGCACCCCAATCTGGGACTATTATTTAAGCACCACCCCATAAACCAAAAGGGACAAAGGAAGAAATGTTGATGATAAGAAAGGGCCCGACGGGATATCTCCACTCTCTATAGTTATTTACAATCTCCCACAATCCCTCAATGTGCAAGACCAGTTCCTAGTCCAAAAAGTAATGTTTCCAAGTTCTATCCAAGGATGACCTCCATACATGGACCCCAAGTGTGACACCCCACAGGACTTGTACCTTTCTCCTATCCATGCCCAACAAAATAGGTCCTCTCTTTGGATGGACTAGGCCTTCCAAAAGCTTCTAATGACCTTAAATAGGGTTATCATGTTGGCGGACCTAGAAAATTCCATGAGAGGATATTCCTCGGTGGATTTTCTAGGTCCTCCACCATGGTTCTATGGCAACTTCAGGTGGAAGTCATCCAAATATGGTGGTTGAGCTACATAATAAATAAATAAATTATATCGTATGCCAGCTCCAGTACAAACCATATAATATTTGGTTAGGTGGTCCTAAACCTACCTTAGAACGTTATAATTCAGTAGGAGGAAGCCATATATGGTCTCACCTCAGAGTCTCCAGAACGTTTCATGGTCCCATGCTGGTTCTCAAGCTTTTGGTCCTTCAGGTGATGCTGGAACTTTATCTCCCAGAATCTCCCAACCATCACCACACTGGCTGGGGCTCCAGTGAGGTGATGGTTGAGGGATTCTAGAGTTCTCTCCATAATCTCAGCTCCTCCAAACCCAATCCAGGTCTTCTCTCTTTTACCACCTTGTTTCAACCTCTTCATCTAACCCTCTAACTGGGAAGTCCCTACACTATATCCCCGGTTAGCTTGAATCCCTCAACCATCACCTCACTGGAGCCCCAGCTAGTGTGGTGATGGTTGGGAGATTCTGGAAGATAAAGTTCCAGCATCACCTCAAGGACCAAAAGCTTGAGAACCACCATGGGACCATGAAACGTTCTGGAGACCCTGAGGTGAGACCATATATGGCTTCCTCCTACTGAATTATAACGTCCTAAGGTAGGGTTAGGACCACCTAACTGTTTTCTAGTGTCATTTATAATCATGGGACAATGGTCATGACCATAAATGACCTCGAAACCCACCTTAAAACCATGTGATGCAGGAGATCAGGGTGTTATAAGATGATATGACCAGCTCCTCCAAACCCAATCCAGGTCTTCTCTATCTGACTGCCCTGTTTCAACCTCCCCTATCTAACCCTCTAAATGGAAGACCCTACACTATGTACTCTTTCCTGAAGAAGGATCACTAAGGTGTCTGTTCTCAATCATTGGACTTCCCAGTTGGCTTGGACTTAACTCCCAGGAGCCCCAGTCAGTGAGATGATGAGTAAGAGATTCTGGGAGATAAAGTTCCAGCATCACCTGAAGGACCAAAAGCTTGAGAACCACCATGGGACCATGAAATGTTCTGGAGATCCTGAAGTGATACCATATATGGCTTCTTCTTACTCAATTATAATGTCCCAAGGTAGTCATAGGGCCACCTAACTGTTTTCTGGTGGCATTTATAATCATGGGGCGATGGTCATGACCATAAATGACCCCAAAACCCACCTTAAAACCATTCAGTTGACCCAAGTGATGCAGAAGATCAGAGTGCTATAGGATGACATGACCAGCCTGCTTCTCCATCTTTGACTGGAAGAAGGGGCCTGGTGATGCCATCCTATCATGGCCCACTACTATCTGGGAAGTGATTATCTCTAAGGTTAGATTCTGGGGTTGTCCCTCACTCCAAGGAATGTTACTACCATCTGTCCTGGGTACAAAACTGGAGAAGATGGAAGGCTTAGTAGAGCTTTTACGAGACCACGGGCTCACCTTGAACTGCCTTGCCAGATGTTGTTTGTGGCTCTCTTCCACCTGCTTGAACTTTGTTTCCAGCCCTCTCATCTGGTTTTCCATTTTCTCGACGTACTGTAGATCCCGTTGGGTCCTCCGGTCCAACACCTCTATGGACTGGGACATGTTTTGTACCTGTGCAAAGAGCGAAGTGGGATTGTGGAGGCAGAGAGGGACAAAGAGAAGGTCAAAATGACAGGGGAGACAATGGGAGTAACCACAACAGCAATTCAGTTGGACTTGAACAGTCAACTGGATGCCTCAAGTCAACTTGACCATTCCTATGGATCATATTGAGACAAAAGATAGAGTGAACTTGTCTTCTGTCATTGTAGAGACTAGGCTGTAAACCAAACGAACCCATGGAGATCCTACCTAGGATCATCCCTATGGATCACACTGAGACAGAAGATAGAGTGAACTTGTCTTCTGTCATTGTAGAGACTAGGCTGTAAACCAAACGAACCCATGGAGATCCTACCTAGGATCATCCCTATGGATCACATTGAGACAGAAGATAGAGTGAACTTGTCTTCTGTCATTGTAGAGACTAGGCTGTAAACCAAATGAACCCATGGAGATCCTACCTAGGATCATCCCTATGGATCACATTGAGACAGAAGATAGAATGAACTTGTCTTCTGTCATTGTAGAGACTAGGCTGTAAACCAAACGAACCCATGGAGATCCTACCTAGGATCATCCCTATGGATCACATTGAGACAGAAGATAGAGTGAACTTGTCTTCTGTCATTGTAGAGACTAGGCTGTAAACCAAATGAACCCATGGAGATCCTACCTAGGATCATCCCTATGGATCACATTGAGACAGAAGATAGAATGAACTTGTCTTCTGTCATTGTAGAGACTAGGCTGTAAACCAAACGAACCCATGGAGATCCTACCTAGGATCATCCCTATGGATCACACTGAGACAGAAGATAGAGTGAACTTGTCTTCTGTCATTGTAGAGACTAGGCTGTAAACCAAACGAACCCATGGAGATCCTACCTAGGATCATCCCTATGGATCACACTGAGACAGAAGATAGAGTGAACTTGTCTTCTGTCATTGTAGAGACTAGGCTGTAAACCAAACGAACCCATGGAGATCCTACCTAGGATCATCCCTATGGATCACATTGAGACAGAAGATAGAGTGAACTTGTCTTCTGTCATTGTAGAGACTAGGCTGTAAACCAAATGAACCCATGGAGATCCTACCTAGGATCATCCCTATGGATCACATTGAGACAGAAGATAGAATGAACTTGTCTTCTGTCATTGTAGAGACTAGGCTGTAAACCAAACGAACCCATGGAGATCCTACCTAGGATCATCCCTATGGATCACATTGAGACAGAAGATAGAGTGAACTTGTCTTCTGTCATTGTAGAGACTAGGCTGTAAACCAAATGAACCCATGGAGATCCTACCTAGGATCATCCCTATGGATCACATTGAGACAGAAGATAGAATGAACTTGTCTTCTGTCATTGTAGAGACTAGGCTGTAAACCAAACGAACCCATGGAGATCCTACCTAGGATCATCCCTATGGATCACATTGAGACAGAAGATAGAGTGAACTTGTCTTCTGTCATTGTAGAGACTAGGCTGTAAACCAAACGAACCCATGGAGATCCTACCTAGGATCATCCCTATGGATCACATTGAGACAGAAGATAGAGTGAACTTGTCTTCTGTCATTGTAGAGACTAGGCTGTAAACCAAATGAACCCATGGAGATCCTACCTAGGATCATCCCTATGGATCACATTGAGACAGAAGATAGAATGAACTTGTCTTCTGTCATTGTAGAGACTAGGCTGTAAACCAAACGAACCCATGGAGATCCTACCTAGGATCATCCCTATGGATCACATTGAGACAGAAGATAGAGTGAACTTGTCTTCTGTCATTGTAGAGACTAGGCTGTAAACCAAACGAACCCATGGAGATCCTACCTAGGATCATCCCTATGGATCACATTGAGACAGAAGATAGAGTGAACTTGTCTTCTGTCATTGTAAAGACTACGCTGTATACCAAATGAACCCATGGAGATCCTACCTAAGATCATTCCTATGGATCACATTGAGACGGAAGATAGAGTGAGCTTGTCTTCTGTCATTGTAGAGACTAGGCTGTAAACCAAACGAACCCATGGTGATCCTACCTAGGACCATGCTTATAGATCACACTGAGGTAGAAGATGGAGAAAGCTTGTCTTTTGCAACTGAAGACTAGGACACTGACCAAATGAACTTATGAAGATTCTACCTAAATGTTAGGAGGAACAATCTCATAGTAAGAGCTGTTCCATAGTAGAATGGCCTGTCTTAGTGGGGGTAGACTCTTCTATTTTGGAGGTCCTTCAACGGAAGTTGGAGGCCCACCTCTCAGGCAGCAGCCACTTTGAGTGAGGAAGGTCTGTTCTCTTGTCAATCGGGATACAACACATTGATGTTTTCCTTCTCCTTGAACAATTTAAGGAAGAGTTGTAACTGGGATCCTGATTATGATTAACACAAAGAATATCGCTGGTGTGAAAGGGAGAAAATGTCTATCTGTTGTAACTCAATCAGTAGGAAAACAGATCTCTAAAGCTGATGGTGGTTGCTACCTGATAATTTAAGGATGCAAGGAAGAGTTGGGATCCTGATTCTGATTGACACAAAGAAGATCACCAGTGTGAAGGAAATGTCTATCTGTTGTATCCCGATCAGCAGGAGAACAGATGTCCAATGCTTCTGGGTAAGTTGAAGGTGGAGGACAAGCCATAACGAAGATCCATAACTAAGGTAGCAACATAGCTAAGTAGCTTAGATACCAGTCATTGTGTCCATGGCTCTCCTTCTTGGGAGGAAAATGCTCCTTTGTAACCACTCAAGAGTACCTTTTGACTAAGAAGGATGTTTCTGCTCAGCGATGAATTATCACCTTGTCGCTGGCAGATGACAGTCATTGATTGTCGGTGTGCGAGGAAGGAATGTCAGTGACGAAAGACTGTCACCACGAAAGTATCATGAACCCACTTTGGGGATCACAGCATCCATCATCAGAACAGATGGGCAGATTCATGAGCCATGTATAACATATCAAACCCACCCTCCTTTCTGAATAGAACCTAACAATCCTGGCGTCCACCAATCCAATGTAATCTTGGAAGCTAAGCAAGGGCTGGGTCTAGTTAATGCTTGTGTTAGGGACCACCAAGGAACACCAGTGTTGTGGGTGATATTCCTTAACGGAGAAAACCCCTATGGAAGACATGAGTCAACAGGCAACTTCTAATCACATAGATATATTTTCTGAGTGAGATGTCCATGCCTCACTCAGATGTAGGAATCTCTAAGTCCTCCAAATCCAGTTAGTAGAACATCTCTCTAGCAAACTCTAGGTTTTCTAGGGCAACTACATGGTCAGAACACCTCTCCAGTATGACTTTGTGGTCAACTTCAACTGGAAGAACACTTCTCTAGGAATCTCTAGGTCCTCTAGGGCAACTATATGGTCAACTTCAGCTGGAAGAATACCTCTCTAGTGCAACTATATGGTCAGCTTCAGCTGGAAGAACACCTCTCCAGTATGACTTTGTGGCCAACTTCAACTGGAAGAACACTTCTCTAGGAATCTCTAGGTCCTCTAGGGCAACGATATGGTCAACTTCAGCTGGAAGAATACCTCTCTAGGGCAACTACATGGTCAGCTTCAGCTGGAAGAACTCTTCTCCTATATGACTTTGTGGTCAACGTCAACTGGAAGAACACTTCTCTAGGAATCTCTAGGTTCTCTAGGGTAACTATATGGTCAACTCCAGCTGGAAGAATACCTCTCTAGGAATTTCTAGGTTCTCTTGGGCAACTATATGGTCAACTCCAGCTGGAAGAATATCTCTCTAGGAATTTCCAGGTTCTTTAGGGCAACTATATGGTCAACTCCAGCTGGAAGAATACCTCTCTAGGAATTTCTAGGTTCTCTAGGGCAACTATATGGTCAACTTCAACTGGAAGAATACCTCTCTAGGGCAACTACATGGTCAGCTTCAGCTGGAAGAACACCTCTCCAGTATGACTTTGTAGTCAACTTCAACTGGAAGAACACTTCTCTAGGTTCTCTTGGGCAACTATGTGGTTAACTTCAGCTGGAAGAATACCTCTCTAGGAATTTCTAGGTTCTTTTGGGCAACTATATGGTCAACTTCAGCTGGAAAAATACCTCTCTAGGGCAACTACATGGTCAGCTTCAGCTGGAAGAACTCCTCTCCTATATGACTTTGTGGTCAACGTCAACTGGAAGAACACTTCTCTAGGTTCTCTTGGGCAACTATGTGGTTAACTTCAGCTGGAAGAATATATCTCTAGGAATTTCTAGGTTCTCTTGGGCAACTTTGTGGTCAACTTCAGCTAGAAGAACACCTCTAGGTTCTCTAGGGCAACTATATGGTCAACATGAGCTGGAAGAACACCTCCTCAGGAATCTCTAGTTTCTCTAGGGTAATTATATGGTTAACCTCAACTAGAAGAACACCTCTTTAGTAAACTCTAGGTTCATTAGGATGACTTTATGGTCAACTTCAACTGGAAGAACACCTCTCTAGGAATTTATAGATCCTCTAGGGCAAATATATGGTCAACCTCAGCTGGAAGAACACTTCTCTGAGAATCTCTAAGTTCTCTAGGGCAACTATATGGTCGTTTAGCTGGAAGAACACCTCTTCAGTAAGGTCTAGGTACACCAGTATGACCTTATGGTCAACTTCAACTGGAAGAACACATTTCTGAGAACCTAGGATCTCGATTGTGACATTATTTCTGCTAAAACCACTCATCATTCTGCTTTCAGAACTTTTGTAAGAAAGACACCCTTATTTCTACACTCTCTATGTGTGAGGATGGAAATATCTACCGTATATCTATCTATCTTCACAATCCATATTCATCAGTTTCTGGGTGACACACCTCCAAATTCCAGAGATAATGAACAAGGACACATTCCACTGCCCTGAATTTTCAAAAATACTTTTTTCAACCCATAGTTTTCAACCCCTTCAATTGAGTTGAAATGAATAAGTCTTATCTGCAAATCCGAACAGAAGATACTCTCTAGATATTTTGCATCCGGTGACATTTCGATGACAAGATGTGAAATGTTTTATTTTTTCGTGGCAGACATGTAATGATCTTGAGCATTCAGTCAAGGATAGTGCATATCTCATAATTGATGCCTGCCAAAACAAAGCGATCGTTTCTCGGAAGAAATTGAGCTTTTCAAATGTGGGCAGGTGAGATGTTACATCAAAAATCGTAGCAGTGGAAGTAAAAAAGGGAGAAAAATCAGGATTTGTGGGATGGTTTCCCCTCATGTTTCTCCTCTTTAGCTTTGCAAACCCATTCCCCAAATTAGTGGCCAATGGAAACATTATACTACTCATCTTGAGGAATGTGAAAGTGAAGAAGGTGAGATGAACCCATGGTGGACAACCTACTGAAGGAACTGGAATTGGGATAGCTCAATTGAAATCTAGAATGAAGAAGCTTTCCAGGATGGACAACTCATTGAACAAATAAGGTCCAGGAAGTGGAATAGCTCAACTGAAGACTAGAATGAAGGACCTATCCATGATGGATAACCCATTGAAGGAATAGTGTTCAGGAAAGGGAATAGCTCAACTGAAGACTAGAATGAAGGACCTATCCATGATGGACAACCCATTGAAGGAATAGTGTTCAGGAAAGGGAATAGCTCAACTGAAGACTAGAATGAAGGAGCTCTCCATGATGGACAACCCATTGAAGGAATAGGGTCCAGGAAGTGGAATAGCTCAACTGAATTCTAGAATCAAGAAGCTATCCATGATGGAAAACTCATTGAAGGACGAGGGTCTAGGAAGTGGAACAGCTCCATTGGATTCTAGAATGAAGAAGCAATCCATGATGGACAACTCATTGAAGGAATGAGGTCTAGGAAGTGGAATAGCTCCATTGAAGACTAGAATGAAGGACTTATCCATGATGGACAACCCATTGAAGTAATAGTGTTCAGGAAATGGAATAGCTCAACTGAAGATGAGAATGAAGAACTTCTTCATGGTGGACAACTCATTGAAGGAACGAGGTCTAGGAAGTGGAATAGCTCTATTGAAGACTAGAATGAAGAACCTATCCATGATGGACAGCCCATTGAAGGAATAGTGTTCAGGAAAGGGAATAGCTCAACTGAAGACTAGAATGAAGGACCTATCCATGATGGACAACCCATTGAAGGAATAGTGTTCAGGAAAGGGAATAGCTCAACTGAAGACTAGAATGAAGGAGCTCTCCATGATGGACAACCCATTGAAGGAATAGGGTCCAGGAAGTGGAATAGCTCAACTGAATTCTAGAATCAAGAAGCTATCCATGATGGAAAACTCATTGAAGGACGAGGGTCTAGGAAGTGGAACAGCTCCATTGGATTCTAGAATGAAGAAGCAATCCATGATGGACAACTCATTGAAGGAATGAGGTCTAGGAAGTGGAATAGCTCCATTGAAGACTAGAATGAAGGACTTATCCATGATGGACAACCCATTGAAGTAATAGTGTTCAGGAAATGGAATAGCTCAACTGAAGATGAGAATGAAGAACTTCTTCATGGTGGACAACTCATTGAAGGAACGAGGTCTAGGAAGTGGAATAGCTCTATTGAAGACTAGAATGAAGAACCTATCCATGATGGACAGCCCATTGAAGGAATAGTGTTCAGGAATTGGAATAGCTCAAATGAAGATGAGAATGAAGAAGTTCTCCATGATGGACAACCCATTGAAATAATAGGGTCCAGGAAGTAGAATAGCTCAACTGCATTCTAGAATCAAGAAGCTATCCATGATGGAAAACCCATTGAAGGACGAGGGTCTAGGAAGTGGAACAGCTCCATTGGATTCTAGAATGAATAAGCTCTCCATGATGGACAACTCATTGAAGGAACGAGGTCTAGGAAGTGGAATAGCTCTATTGAATTCTAGAATGAAGAAGCTCTCTATGATGGACAACTCACTGAAGGAATGAGGTCCAGGAAGTGGAATAGCTGAACTGAATTATAGAATGAAGAAGTGATGGACAACCCATTGAAAGAATACGATCCAGGAAGCAGGATAGCTCCATTGAAGACTAGAATGAAGAAGCTCTCCATGATGGACAACCCAATGAAGAAAAAGGGTCCAGGAAGTGGAATAGCTCCATTGAAGACTAGTGCGGAGGAGCTATCTATGGTGGACAACCCACTGAAGGAACAGGGCTTTGGGACTGGAGTAAGTCCAGTGAATACTACAATGAAGGAGTTATCCACAATGATAAAGTTATTTATGGAATCGGTCCAAAATGTGGAGTAGGCCTGTTGAGGTTCTCCAAAGGGTCCATCCTTGGTGACTTCCCAGCTTTCCTACCCGTCTTCTCCATTTTGAAAGGTTGGAGATGTTTGCTCTTGGATTGAGGTCCCAAAAGGAAGAGCCCAGAGAGTGTGACATTGTGATCGCCCCCCCCCGCTTTTTCCTTAGACATTGGAACGTGGTATTGGCCCTCAAAAACAAAACAAAACAAACCAGGACATCGCCCACCTATTCTTGAGTATCCACAATCCTCCTTAAACCCCAAAATTGGTGAAACTGGAGAAGGTGTGCTCACCTTTTCTAATAGCTGCCGCAGTTGCTTTGTCCTGGCATCACGTGAGCACATCGTCTGCTGAGGGGCCACCACCGTACATATACACCGCCCCTCGCTGTCCTGGGCAGAACTGTACACCTGCCAACTTTCCTCGGGGTTGGTCGGCAACACCTGGCGAGAACGACAGACAGAAATAAGGCAAGTTGAGAGGAAGAACCGACGAGGAACGGAGGAGCCCGTTCACACCTTCCGTTGACCAAGAGAAACTGGTAATAAGGCATTAGAGCAGTGGTTCTCCACCTTCTTAATGGCGTGACCCCTTAGTACAGTTCTTCATGTTGTGGTGACCCCCATGTTGTGGTGATCTCCCAGCATTTTGTCATATGGGAGTTGTAGTTCACCTACATCCAGAGAGCACTGTGGACTCTAACAATGACGGATCTAGATCAACTACATGACTACTCAATATGCCCAAATGTGAATACTGCTTGGGAAAAATAGACCTTGACATTTGGGAGTTGTGGCTACTGGGATTTATAGTTCACCTACAATCAAAGAGCAATCTGAACTCCATTAACGATGGAATTGATCCAAACTTGGCACACAGAACTCCCACGGCCAACAGAAAATACTGAAAGGGTGTGGTGGGCATTGACCTTGAGTTTGGGAGTTGTAGTTCACCTACCTCCAGAGAGCACTGTGGACTCAAACAATGATGGATCTGGACCAAACTTGACATGAGTACTCAATATGCCCAAATGTGAACAGTGGTGGAGCTTTGGGGAAAATAGCCTTGACATTTGGGAGTTGTAGTTGCTGGGATTTATAGTTCACCTACAATCAAAGAGCATTGAACTCCACAACGATGGAATTGATAAACTTGGCACACAGAACTCCCATGGCACAGAAAATACTGAAAGGGTTGATGGGCATTGACCTTGAGTTTGGGAGTTGTAGTTCACCTACCACGAGAGCACTGTGGACTCAAACAATGATGGATCTGGACCAAACTGACAGAATACTCAATATGCCCAAATGTGAACACTGGTGGAGTTGGGGAAAATTTACCTTGACATTTGGGAGTTGTAGTTGCTATTTATAGTTCACCTACAATCAAAGAGCATTCTGAACCCCACCAATGAGAGAATTGGGCCAAACTTCCCACACAGAACCCATAACCAATGGAAAATACAGGAGGGTTTTGGGGTGAATTGACAGTGATTTAGGGATCTGGAGAGCACTGTGAACCCAAACAATTAGGCCAAAGGGGTTCCGAAGACCATCAGAAATATGTGTTTTCTCATGGTCTTCAGTGAGACAATTTCAACAGAAAGGAGGAAACCATGAAAATGAACAAAATCTGGCTACCGGTATTAAAAAACTCTAAAATTAGAACAGCACAACAACAGAGAGGAAACAAACAAGGACATCTAATCACCTCTCAACAAAAGATTGCTCCAGGCACTGCCAATCAAATGCTAATCAAGGTGGTCAGTTGAAACATTCACACCTAGCTCCAGCAGACAAGAGTCCTTTGTCTCACCCTGGTCATTCCACAGATATATAAACCCATTTTCCTAGTTCCAACAGACCTCACTACCTCTGAGGATGCTTGCCATAGATGCAGGCGAAACGTCAGGAGAGAATGCCTCTAGACCATGGCCATATAGCCCGAAAAACCTACAACAACACACAGTCCTTGATCTGGAGTCCTTGGCTCTCTCGTCTTTGGCAAGTTTCCAGGAAAGAAGGGAACAGTTGGAGACAAATGGGCACAGAGTTAATGCTATTACCTGGCATATTGGGAGAAAATAATAATAATAATAATAATAATAATAATAATAATAATAATAATAATAATAATGGATAGAGAAAGGAACCCATAATAATAATAATAATAATAATAATAATAATAATAATAATGGATAGAGAAAGGAACCCTTAATAATAATAATAATAATAATAATAATAATGATGGATAGAGAAAGGAACCCTTAATAATAATAATAATAATAATAATAATAATATAATAATGGATAGAGAAAGGAACCCATTAATAATAATAATAATAATAAGGTGTCTTTTGTACTTACAAAATAATAATAATATAATAATAATAATAATATAATAATAATAATAATATAATAATAATAATAATAATATAATAATAATAATAATAATAATAAATAATAATAATAATAATAATAATAATAATAATAATATAATAATGGATAGAGAAAGGAACCCTTAATAATAATAATAATAATAATAATAATAATAATAATAATAATATAATAATGGATAGAGAAAGGAACCCTTAATAATAATAATAATAATAATAATGGATAGAGAAAGGAACGCTTAATAATAATAATAATAATAATAATAATAATAATGGATAGAGAAAGGAACCCATAATAATAATAATAATAATAATAATGGATAAAGAAAGGAACCCATAATAATAATAATAATAATAATAATAATAATAATAATAATGGATAGAGAAAGGAACCCATAATAATAATAATAATAATAATAATAATAATAATAATGGATAGAGAAAGGAACCCATAATAATAATAATAATAATAATAATAATAATAATAATAATATATACAAAAATGTGTTTGTGGTAGGGGTGTCCACTTACACAGACAGCCCCCCAGCATCCACAAACAGGCTATAGTTCCAAGTGCGGAGAAGTCTCCAAAGGTTAGAGCGAGCGCCATGAACACGTACCCCAAACCCTGCCAATGTCCCCCCCCCCAAACACTATGGTCCACCACCTTTCATTTGGGGATTATTCTATCCTAAATTTGATGAGTTTCGGCCAGGCAGGCATTCCCAGTGGTTCCTTTCGCTATCCAGGGTGTGGCGGATATCACAAAAATTATGCATGGACCCCCCCCCCCTTCAATGACCGACAGCTTGACTGGGACTGCTTTCAGTCTCCGTCATCTCTGGGCAAGAGCCATACATCCCTGGCAAGGAAAGAAGCAGATTAGCTAATGCCTGATTAAATCATTTCTCATGTGACAATATTTTATGCTATGAAATGAAGTAATTTTTGAATCAATTCCTGCCATTGCAAGAAGTCTTTAAGGACTCCTTTCTCTCTCATTGGTGTGGAATTTGCATCACCCCGCCCATGCCTCTCCCTTAACCCTTTCCTATGGCACACAGAGGAATTGATCACCAACTGGACAGACTGGAGGGGTTTGGAGGACTGACTCAACAGGATGGAAGTTGTAGTTCACCCTGTACCGTGACCCCCTTCGATAATGGACCTGGTCCACATTTGGCACACAGAACTCCCATGATCACATCTAGTTCAACTCCCAGTCAGGCAGGAAAAGCACAATCAAAGCACTCCCAACAGTTGGCCATCCAGCCTCTATGGAAAAGCTTCCAAGGAAGGAACTTCCACTGGACTTGGCAGCAGAGAGTTCCACTACTGAACAGCTTTTCTTATGGTCAGGAAGTTCTTAATGTCGTGTTTTTGAATACTGGTAGCCAGATTGTTTTCATTTTCATGGTTTCCCCCTTAGGCAGGAAAAGCACAGTCAAAGCACTCCCAACAGTTGGCCATCCAGCCTCTGTTGAAAACTCCCAAGGAAGGAGCTTCCACTGGACTTGGAAGCAGAGAGTTCCACTACTGAACAGCTTTCCTTATGGTCAGGAAGTTCTTCCTAATGTTGAGTTTTTGAATACTGGTAGCCAGATTGTGTTCATTTCCATGGTTTCCTCCTTAGGCAGGAAAAGCACAGTCAAAGCACTCCCAACAGTTGGCCATCCAGCCTCTGTTGAAAAGCCTCCAAGGAAGAAGCTTCCACTGGACTTGGCAGCAGAGAGTTCCACTACTGAACAGCTTTTCTTATGGTGAGGAAGTTTCAAAGCACTCCCAACAGTTGGCCATCCAGCCTCTGTTGAAAAACACCCAAGGAAGGAACTTCCACTGAAATTGGAAGCAGAGAGTTCCACGACTGAACAGCTTTTCTTATGGTCAGGAAGTTGAGTTTTTTTTGAATATTGGTAGCCAGATTTAGTTCATTTTCACTGTTTCCTCCTTTCTGTTGAAATCATCCACGTGCTTGTGGATTTCAATGGCTTCTCTGTGTACTCTGACATGGTGGTTGTGAGAGTGGTCCAGCACAATCAGGGCCAGCTAACACCTCCCAACGAAGAATCCCCCCTTAGGCAGGAAGCAGCCAAACTTTGAAGCTGCAAGGCTATTCTGCGTCCAGGTTGCTCTGCTATGGCTGTCTTCTCTGGTTGGATTAGTTTGCAGCGCCTTTCGTGTTTGGGCAATGCTACCCGGGCGCATACAAGGGCACTAAAACGAGCCACCGAGACGGAAACGTGCCTGAGTTCGCTCTGGCAGAAGGAGACACCCATTCCAAAACTCAAGATGGAAGCCTCGACATCGAAAACCTCTTAGAGCTTCTCCAAATTGTGTTTCTTCTTCCCAGGGACACGGTGTTCCGAAGCGCATCTCCGGGTCTATTTTTCGCAAAGGGCATAAATAATTAAGCCGCCTTAAAAGCATCTTGAGGCATCTCCGTGCCTTTGTCCTTTCATGCCGGCAAGGAGGGGATCTGACATTTGTTCCACCTTTGGAACTCACCGTTTGTTTGTTTTTTTGGAGGAGGGGGTGTGTGAAATGAGTTTTACTTGCAGAGCCATAGGTCCGGTGGTGCAGTGGGTTAAACTGCTGACCTGCTGACTGAAAGGCTGGTAGTTTGAATCCAGGGAGCGGGGTGAGCTCCTGTTGTTAGGCCCAGCTGGCTGATACCCAAACAAGGGATGGGCTGGAGATGTCTCTGCCTTGGTCCTTTCACTATTGGCTGCTACTTCTCGGCGGATGTCAAATTGCATTCATTCAGCAGTACAGATCAGGCATGGGCAAACTTTGGCCCTCCTGGTGTTTTGGACTTCAACTGCCACTTTTGGACTCTCGCTTGCTGAGGTGTTCCAGCGAGTGTCTCTGTAGATCTTAGAAAACTATTTCTTGATTTAAGTCATTGACGTGCTGGCTGATACCCAAACAGGGGATGAGCTGGAGATGTCACTGCCTTGGTCCTTTCACTATTGGTTGCTACTTCCCAGCGGATGTCAGGTGGTACAATACTGGCTAAGCAGTGTAATTTCTCCAGTGGTGTAGGGTGCAG